TTGTTTTTGAGCCTAATGGCTCCCCTGTCCTTGGCACAGCTTGCGCCCTGCTAGAATCCACTTTTCAAGTGGATCTATTGGTTTCGATGGGGTAATCTGTGAGAACCCTGGGGGGAACATCACTGATTAGTATGGTTTGCATGTTCTCATGCTGTAATTTTGATATGGGAGGTTATTCTCCTCTTTTGGCCTTGATATTGATCGTGGCTCTGATCCTCAGTCCTCTGATCGAGATCGTTCAATTCTGTTGCCAGCCAAGGATTGCACCTTGGTCTGGTCTTTACAGCTGTTCTCAGCTAGCGATCTTTGATGAGGTAGTTCTCAGATTGAAGGGATGCTATCAGATCCATCTCTGATGGCGTCATAGGTAATTCGTGGCCTTAGATCATCGATCCTCAACTTGGATTGAACAAGGTTTGTCTCGCATCGATATCAACACTCGTTGGGTGATTTGGATATCGGAGACCCTTGCAATCGCTAGGTTAAGTGAGGTGATCTCTTGGAGGTGAATTCTTTTATTGGGGGTCCTTGTTGGTGTTCCATCTATGGTAGAGGTCGGTCTCTCTGTCTTGGTAGGTTGTGCATGGGCACTGTCATCTGCAAAGGTCGCTGATTAGTAACGTTGACTGTTCTCAGTCATCGATCTTTTAGCGAGGTGGTTTTTGTGAAGATCTGTAGAATCTGAATGTAGAGTGCGTTTAAACTCTGGGATCTTTGGTTCTTCGAGGTCACATACCATCCCATCCCTCATGCAGGTGGCATTGACCATGCTCATCATAAATATGAGCTGTTTCTTGAACAGCTGATTTTTACGAGGTTTACTCCTCTGTTGGAAATCTGGGTAGATTTCCGGTATATTGGTTGTGTGGCTATCATAGCCTCACATGTCCCAACAAAAGGGATTGGCAGTGGTACCTGTATGGGCAGGGTCCAATAAGTCTGGTTTAGGTGGTTAACAGTTTCGAGTAGAGTGTCGGTTACTGTTGTGGATATTTACTGCTATCGTTCCTTGAGCGTTACTAGCCTCGAATAGAGACATGGTCTATTGAAGAAGTCCTTCGAGGGGAGATCCGGCTCCCTGAGGATACTTTTCATAGACTCCTCCTGTTCGATCCTAGGTGTTGCTCGAATGCTAGCTAGAGTAACGGCTTCATTGTTCTCTCAGACAATTATTATGGCATATAATTCCTGAGTATGCTTCTTGTAATGGTCTATGTCCCTTGGCATCTCAAATGCCTATAGAGACATGGCTATGGTGATGGGAGTAGTGGGCATCATCGGACTCTGGGGTGTCACCCAGGTTACGTTAGGGCTTCGTTCCAGGTTCCCAAGAGTGTTCCCACTTGTGGGGTGCGGTTGTATGGCTTCCGCAGCCTTGTGTTTCCCGATGAAAGGGATTGGCAGTACCCATAGAATGGGGATCCAATAACTCTGGTTAATTAGTTGGAGGCCGATATGGGGCATCCAGTCATAATATAGTGGTTGACTGTTCTCAGTCAGCGATAGTTGATTTTTTGTGAAGGTTTTGTCCTTCCCCTATTGATCGGGATGAAAGGGATTTATCATCCTTTGACTTGGTTATCCTGGAAGGTTCCTCGACATTTAACGATGATTCATCTTTCTTGTCACAGTGGAATCTTCTGGTTTAACCATTTGATTTGTTCGAAGGTTTTCTCCTCCTCTATAATTCGTAACCACTGTTTTTAAAGGTTTTCTTCCTTTCCTGTATTTCTGAACGAAAGGGATTTATTGTTTGTTGACTGTTCTTTGGGGTGTAGTTAACGAGGTGGCATTTTGAAGTTTTGACTATGGCACATGCTAAGGTTGTTTGTTCTCATGTAGGGCTCCAGTCTGGTACTGATATTCAGTGACTCAGATGTTAGGAGTGTGCCGCCAACCAATCCTTTAGCAGGGCTCTTTAGCCAGGGACTTTGGTGTCGTTTATCGGTTTGCTACGTTCCAAAGCTTGTCGAGGTTAGGAATGCAGGGGATCGGGATGATCGGTTATGATCCCGAATCCTTCGGTGCTGCACCTATACAGCAGTGGTATGATCCATTCAAGGTAGTTATTATAACTCCCTTTTTGAGTACTATTCATGCTAACCGATGACCGTGGGGTATAGACCACTTCATATGTGAGTTCTGATTTTCACGTTTTGCGGGTCCACTGGTCAGTCAGTCAGGATAGGATTTCAATGGATTTCCTTCAACGGTAGATTGTTTAGGCTGTGCATTAATCACCTAGCTTTCCTGCCTATCCAGGGTATATCCATTGTAAATAGGTTTTGCGACCTTATTTTTGAGGCACATGGCCCTTCATGTCCACATTGGTGTATAGAGCACATGTGGTCTTTCTCATCAGGAAGGTCTCATGAGTGAGTCGCCTCTCCTCTTTTCTGCCTGTTTAACAGTCATGAGCAGAGTGTCGGTTACTGTTTTTAACAGGGGGTTATAGAGTTTGAGCATTACTCTACGCTTCATGAGTTCCTCCTCTTGGATGAGTTTAACCAGAACTTCTTGAGTCCAAAGGGTACTCCTCTGATGAGTACTCAAGGTTTCCCTCTTTCGGCATTGGGGACTTCCCCCTGTCACTGTTCGCTGCAGGACTTGTGGCCCGTTGTGCTTCTGCAGTTACTTAGTTTCCTGCCTGTTCGCTTGTGCTACTAAGGTCTTTTTCACTCAGGGATGGCCCACACAGTCCGGGTTTTTAAGAGTCCTGTAAACTCTGTGGATCACTGCAATTAATGAAGAGCCTTGGAAAATGAGCACCAACTAGATTTTGAGTTGGTGTTCATTTTCCAGTACTTCTCGTCATTAGGTATTTCAACGATAGTTACCTGGCTTTGATTAGTTTCTCGACGGCAGTTGGTCATCAGGCCTCCATGGGCCCTATGCGGGATTTGGTCGCTTGAGAGGTCTTCACCTCGAGCAGTATGGCTTTTGCCCTGCGAGGTCTTGTTCGAAAGGTCCTCACCCTTGTCCTTTACCCCAATGGGTAGATCGGTAACCCTTCATGGGGGCACACATGTTGGCTCATCAGGGGGTCCTGTAGGATTCCCCTGATTCCTCACCTCAGCTGCTTTTCCAACGCGAGCCATTGCTACAATTGGGGTAGGAGCGGCAGCCCGGGTTGTCGACCGATCTTCACCAGGGCGACTGGGCACAGTCTGATCCTGGCGCGAGGGGCTCTCCAGTGTATCTGGAACTTTCCCTGCATCAGGCAATTTCTTCTCCCCCGCTGGGAGCTTGATCTGAGCTGGGGTGTCAGTCCTGCTTCTGGGGACAATGGAGGTTACTGCCTTACCTTCATCCGGTAGCTCTATTACACTGCAGGCCTCCATTGTCCCTGCGGCATGGGCCTCCACTTTTCTGAGGGGTTCCCCGCCATCACAGAGGGGCCTACTCGTTCTTGATCCACCACCGCCAGCAGCAGCGGTTCGCTTGCTCATTTCTGGAGTTGCGCACGAGTTGTGCCTAGTGGGGTTCACTGCCGATACAGTCGTTGTATTGATGGAGGAAATCCCTCATACTCCATGTCATCCGGTAGGATTGGAAGTGTTTGTGTCATTTGAGGGATCCTCTTTTTGTGTTCTAGCATATTGCTTCCTTCCGGTTTGGTTTTGTTAGTATTCGAGAGGCATCCCAATGTATACAACTTTGTTGCCGCATCCTACTGGATGTGCCACAGTCAGCTTCTAAGAAGCGTGACTCGATAGAAGAGGGTCAGGCCCATAGAAGTATGATCAGATCTATGGGCCATCAAGCAGATCATCAGACAGGTGTGATGATGATGCGGTGTGATCCATGTGATTAAGCAGGTTATAGTTGATGCGAATAATCCTGTTTTAGACCCACACTGCCATTCCAGATCTGTCTGTAATGATGTTCTGTGGGTTTGCTCGGTGTACCTCGCCGTGAAGGTTTAGTGGGGGAGTCATCTCTTTTTGACATTATGGCAGATGACGTTGAGATGTTGCTCCTACGCTTCACTGATTCCTTTACTTGGGCGAGTTGGCCAAAGTTCTGTTTGTAGTGGTGCACTGCCTCTTCTCCATTCGTGGAGGTTCCAACTTGCATGGATGGCTCTTTGTCGAGCTGACCAGATCGGTCATAGCTTTTGACTGTCAACCTTTCGAGGTTGATCAGTCCTGCAGTCTGGGAATCCAGCATCCTCTATGGCGGAGGTCAGTCTCTCCGTTCTCAGTAGGCTGGCTGGAATTTCCCTCTGTCCCGACAGTTATCAGGTCGGATCCAGACCTATGGCTGGTTCCTAGAGATTTTTGGTCTTTTGACCAAGGGGCTATCCCTTTCCTCTTTGTTGGTTTGTCACTTCCGATGCACAGCATGTCAACAGTGATATAGAGCCTGTGGCTCTTCAGGTTTGTCGCTTTGGATGCACAACATATCTGTAGTGGCCTGGCAGTTTCATGCGATCCGAATGTAGGGTTCATTTAAACCCTAGGATCTTTGATGCTTTTGTTTTTAAAGGTTTTCTCCTTTCCTATTTTCTTAGAACAAAAGGGATTTATTGTCCATCCAAGTTCCTACCAATATAATTTTTGAGTAACAATTCACTGAGTAGGGTTTTACCTAAAAGAAATTTGAGTCCTGTTATACAAGGGCATATCGCCTGGTCTGTCATTGACTCCTTTCTCTTTGCTGAAAATGCGCTAGTTCTGGTTGACCTAGGTAGACATGCCTAGTCCTTTGTCGACGCCTTTCCCTCAGTGCTTGTTGTCGAGGGGTCTTTGCTCTGCTTTTCAAGCAGAGTGCCATTGGGACCTGTCAGATAGGCATTTGTTATCCCATCTAGTATGTCCATGGAATCCACAGCAGAGACATCGCTCCTCTATGAATTCCTGCTCCCAATCTTCTTCTAATGTGGTTCTTGGGCATCGATGAAATGGTGCTGCTGTCGGCTTTTGCCTTTTTATCTTATGCCATTTCGATTTGTCGGGAGAACACTTGTTGTGTCAAACAAAATGCCCAGTGTTTCCACATCAGAAGCACCTTCGTTCTCTCTTGAGGCGGTCCATATCCATTTCTTCATTTATTTCTTCAGGGCGTGATGTGCCTCTGTATTGGGAAAGAGAGGGGTCCCTCTTTCCTAGTTCAGGGTCCAGAGATGTGGTCCAAAACACCTCAGATGGTAGGTGTGGTTGGGTCCCGTCTCCCCCCGGTTTCTTGGTATTGAAGATGTCTTCAGTGCTGAAATTCAGCACCAAAGACATGGATGGTTTCGTCTGTGTCAGAGGAGGTGTCGGTGGAGGTATTGCTGTCTTCACTTTCTTCTTCTTCTTTCGGGATGGTTCGGTATTCCCTTCCCAGGAATACAGGGGTGGGAAGTGAGTCCCATAAGTCTTCATTGATGGCCGTTCGAGCCATGGGATTGGGCCATATGGCCTCATACGAGGTGTCTGGCCAGGGGGATTCCCATCCGTCTCCAGCAACTGAGTGCCAGGTGTCGTCGGCGGTTGAGTCGGAGTGCATGGGGGGTAGGTCCCAGGATCCCTCTTCAGGGGTGATCCAGGAATCCACTGGAAAGAGCGATCCCCAATCCAGTATCCCTTTTTCCTCAGCCACTCCTCTTTCTTCCCTGGCCAATTGATGGATTCTTCATGCGAGTTGTAGAGTGATTTGGTGATACCATTGATATACCCGGCTACAGAGGCAAGCGGACCTCTTTGAGGCAACTTCGGATTCGAGCCGGATGACTTCTGTCTCATAGGAGGAGCCGGTGTCTGGGCTCCAACTGGAGATGTCTTCCTTGAGGTATGAGTCTGGTAAATGATCTCCTGACTCAGTGTGGACTCCCCATGCCTCTCTTGGAGTTCCGGTGGAGGAGTAGATTCTCCCGTCAAGCTCTGAGGCATGGAGCATTGGTCCGGCCTTTCCAAATGACTCTGGAGATTCATCTCTTTGATGTCCTCCTGCATCTGCTTTCTCAATTGTGGTTTGTCCACCTTCTCGATCAACTCCTCGGGTAGGGAGGAAAGAGTTGTCGATTCCTTCGAAGGTGGTTCTTTGCCACTCCGTTCCATCAGCGGTGTTTCCATTATCCCAGGATCCCTTGATATCCTCCCAGTATCCTCCTGCAAATTGTAGGCTTCCAGAGTGTTGGGTCTGGAGGTCATCTCCGGTGTTAGGGCGAATGGGAGTTGATCCATCTCGTGTTTGTGGATAGGATCGAGCACTGCGGTACAAGGGGTGCTTTATTAAGGATGTAAGGGTTTCCGGGATGTGACAAATGGTGGAGCTTATTGGTTTCATACAGTCACCGTTGTTGAACAATGATAAGGTATGAAGTATTTCTGTAGGGGTGAGCAACCCCAAGGACCCGTCGTATAATGACAAGGATTCCTTTATTGTAGTGCTCCGAATGCTGTGGTTGTTCTATTAATGAAAACGACAAGGGCAGTGGAGATAGAGCCCATTACTTTGCCCACTTTGTGGAGGTCGGTACTCTCGAGGGTATGGGTTTATAGAAGTGTTGTTGCTGGCGAGTTTGTGACAGCAATCAAGCAAGACAATATGGTCACCATCGTTGAACAACGATGAGGGTATTAATACAAGCTTCAGCTAATTGTAACGCACTAACTTGGATTGAACAACGTTTGCCTCTAAACTGTCACTCGTGTTCGGTGATTCAATTGTGAAGAGGGCGTTGCAATCACTAGGTTAAGGATGATAGTTCTTAGGCACGAAACAGGGAGTTTCTGCGTGAAAAGTTAGGAGTGTATAACTTTAGCCGAAGCTGGGGTGTAAGACCACAGCAAGGCTCATTTAAATACATCGTAGTATCTACTAGTATGTACTGCTCCTATGTCTCAGTGCATGCTGCCCCAATGCAGTGCTGTCTTCTATGTCCTCTGTATCGTATGGTACTTGGTATAGGAGAAGTCCCCTGGTGAGTAAGAAGACTAGTGTCCATAGGGCGCGGTCTTCTGAGGAGTGTACGTGACGGCCTGTCCATCCTAGGATGTGATCAGAGTTGACCTAAAGAAGCATGACTGGGTGAAGGAGGGTCAGGCCCATAGAGTGTGATCGGACCTATGGGCCATCAGACGGATCATGCATGTGAGCAGTGGATCCAGGGACCAATCAGATGGAACTGATGGTTGTGTTGTGGCAATGCTCCGATGATGCGGTATGAGCGTGATGATGCTAGAAGCGCTCTTGCGAATAAGAAGGGCAACGTCCGTGTGATGCTGCCTCCTTTGATGTGTGGCTGCAGAGCCCATGACAGAGTCCCCGTGATGTGGTCCATGGCATGAGATAATGCGGTGTGGGCATGTGACCGAGCGGGTCATGAATGATGCAGATCAGGTACGAGGAATGATGACGAGAGTTGAATGACAAGTTGCTGACTTGCCGCAATAAGATACCATGATAAGATAAGATAAGCGAAAAATAGGGGTGAATTCATGACAATGTCATGGAATCGCTTAGTGCGATGCTGGCTCGTCTTTTGACGACTTATCATCTTTGACCTCCTCAATCTTTGTGTCCTTTCCATTCTCCTCTTTTTCTGCTTCCACGAGTAACTGTCATAGATGCTGTGCGGGGATCTTTTTGCGAGGGGGAAGTTTGACAGGGATCCACTTTGATTTGTCTGTAGGACATTTATGGTCCCGGCTCCACCCGGTATTTCCACACTTAAAGCACCTCTTCTCACTTCGGAGCTTGTCGATCTCCATCAGCTGTCTGGCCCCACCATATGTCACCCCCGTGGCATCCTTCTTATTGCTAGAACCTCCCGAAGCTCCTGCCTTCGCAGAGGGCTGATTTTGGCTGCCTCTACCTGAACCACTGTTAGGGTTCGGGGAGGGCTTATTCCCTTGCTGCTGGGCTATGCTGTAGCGATAGTTGGCGTCGATCCTTTCGATCCACCACTTCCATTCAGCATACATGGTGGGTCACGCATTGTCCCCATGCATGATCGTGTTTTGAACCGTGGGTTGTACTGCGGCTTCCACGGCTTCGAACATCTGCTTCTCGTCGCTGAACTCCTCGCACTTGTGGGCGAGCTCTTCGAACTTCACGAAGAACTCCATCGCTGACTTGAAGTCCGCTTGTCGGAGCTTCTTCCACTCCTGCTTCCAGATGGCTATTTCAGCGACTTCTTGGAACTGAACTGTGAGATCATTTGTAAATTCGAACCACGAGGGTAATCTCCAATGCCCTTGTTCGTCATGGTATCGATAGTATTGGTCGGTCCACCACTTCTGCACATTTCCACATAAATAGGACTGGGCAAACATAATTTGATAGGGGTTCTGCCCAGCCGTGTTGAGGGTGTAGTACATGGGGAAAACCTGGAAGTATAACTCGCAATGGTGAAGGAACCGGGTAATGTCCAATGATACCCCGGTGAAGTATTCTGGTTGCATGATAAGTTTAGGTTTTATGTCATTCCAGGGGTTGTTTACTGCTCCCAGGGCTAGCTGATACAGAGGTATAGGGTCCAGCGGTGAAGGGGGCGTAGGTGGAACTGGTGGATTTGGGGGTTGCGGCAATGACCTTAAGCATGGATTATGCCCCGGGGATGGATATCCCCCTGGTCTAGGCAGCATGGGAGGCGGGCCTCCTGGCGGTGGCTTAGGTGTTTGGGGCAGCACCATCGATCCCTTTCCCTTGTCAAGGTTGGATGGCCCGGCCTCTCCTTCTCCGTAGTCGGTCTCTCCGCCTCCCCCTGCAGCTGCAAACTTCATGGTTTCTAGTGGATGCGGCATTGGTGTCGGCCGCCTGTATGGAGCGCACCCCGGTTGTGGGTTGTCGGGGTTGCATATATTCCATACTCGAGCGGCCCTGTGCCAAGTGTCGACCTCCAAGATGTTCCTCATCAGGTACACGTCTCCTGTGTACCTGGTGTCGATGTAATCCTCCCCTGCTTCCGTGATAAGCCACTGGGGGTCCTGTACCATATCTTCTGCCATGATCTCGTATAGTGCTTCCCATTCCAGAAACACCAGTATGGCCAGTACAGTTTGTACTGACCTAGTGAGAACTGCCCTCACCTGCCTCATCACTTCGCTTGCGATCGCGGAATTGGGCGGTCTCCTCGGCATCCCACTGCCTGCTCACCCGGGTTGACCATGTTGGCTCTCTGCGTTCTCGCTGTTGTCTTTCTCTAAGTGCTTGCCCCCTCCTCCACTCAGCCAAGTTGGAGCAGTCTTCATCGAAGACTTCACAGAGGAAACGGAACCTCGCTTCTTCCCGGTATACGTCGTCGGAGGTCCTTTGTAAGGCCTCATGGAATTGAAGCTCTGCAGCTCCAATCCTTTGTCAGGCCTCGTCATCCGTAGCGTCGGGTTCGAGGGGGAGGTATTTGAGGTCTTGTATGGCACAGCGCTCAGCATTTCGGGTGCATGCACTGCTCGTTCTTGCTCTGTCCATTCTGGCCACTCCATCTGGGGTGAGCTGGGCAGTTCGAACGTCAAAGTTGGACTCGACAAGCGCGTTGTACTCTTCAGTCCAGGGTCACTGATTGAAGGGGAGGGGGGCAGCAAACGCCCTTGGTGCAACTGATGGGGTGAAAGCGGGGACTCTGGAGAGTTTGTCGGTGGAGGCACCTCCTGTAGAGGTATCAGGGTGAGTGTCTGGGTTGTACGACTCAATGGTGTCCCAGATATGCTGCTCAGTTTTGGCAGGGAGGGCAATGGTCCTCGGGACTGGGGTGTCCTCAGGCCTGGGGGTTTCGGCCGATACTCCGGCCACAGGAGTTTCTTCCTGGGCGAAGACCCAAATTGTGTGGGGGTACCATGCCACAGGGATCCCCTGCCACTCTCTTCCGCCGCCTGGTGCAATTCTTCCATCATAGGGGTCTGTGGCAGCTGGACTGGTGGTAGTTGCGGCAGAGGCCCCAAGGCCAAGCTCTCCGCTATCCTCCGCAAGGTCGTCTCCGCAGAAGTACTCTCTGGTGTCTGCCTCCACGGCGAGGTACTTGCTTCTGGAATAGGGGTCATTCCCTTCTTCCGTCGTGACGCCGTCGAGGAGGTCTTGGAGCCAGATCCTTTCGAAATCGCTGAGGGCATCGCCTTCTTCGCCCTGGTCCACAGCCCCTCCCTCTTCTCTTCCAATGGGAGGGAGGTCAAGGATCCCTGGAATTGGGACATTGTTGTCTCCGAGATCGATTCCTCATACGTCTGTGATGTCGACGGAGGTTCCTCTGGGTGTGATGGGTCATCCATCATGTAGTGTCAGAATGTGTAGGTAAGGGTTTACCGGGTATGGGATAGGGAGATGTGGGATGTAATGGAATGGAAGTCGCACCCTTCAACGCTGGATGCAGCACCTGTATAACTGCCTGAGGGCAATTGCTAGGAGTGCTCCTGCCAATAGTCCAAAAGCTACTGCAACAGCAGGAAGCAGTTCAGCAAGTGGCATACGAGTAGTCGGATAGCAAGGATGGTGAGTGTAATGAGAACGGTGATGATGAGGAGGATGTCAGCTTCGGGGTCAGACATCCAAGGATGGATGCTGATAGAGTCCGATGATGGGGAACGGGTTGTGCTCATCAGGATTAACAGTATTACTACTGTTAAGGTGAGGAGCCAGACAAAGTATGGGTATAGTAACAGTTTAGGTGTGTGTGCCTTTCTGTCAGTCCTCCTGTAGTACACTAACAGTCACAAAACTGTCCTCGTAAACGCATAATGGATATCTCTCTGGTCAAGCAATGTGTGTATAAGCAGTTAAAGTCGTTGGGCAGCGTTCGTTCTCTGACGTGGCGCTGGGCAACATATGGACGAGCTTTGGCTAAATGTCAACAACCAACTAAATCAACTTAGATCAAACTAGGATCGCCACTCACACTTCGGTGGACGATACACTAGCAGGTCAAAGTCAAAGAGAGAAGTTGATTGAGGACTTAGATAGTCATGAAACACGGAGTTAGACTTGGGTAGATTAGACCTTAGCCGAAGCTGGGGTTTAGGCCAGCGAAGGCTACTACTTAAATACAAGTTGATACATTAAAAATAGTACTGTGAGAGTCTCGGTTAAATGGTAAGAAGCATATGAGTAAGCACGATTGCATGAGAGAGAAAGAAAAGAAAAAGAAAATAAAAAGAAAATGAATAACCCGTAACATACTCCATCAACTTAAAAAGAACATTATACTCATTCTCAACATGATTAGCTCATAAGTTCAGTAAATATGGTATCA